AGAGTTTGTCCTGCCAACGAACATGCAGAATGTACCTGAGGCACCAATGGTCTACTACCTCGAGTCTGCGTAAATCTTCCGCGCGAAGAGGCCAGGTTTCACAGCCATATAGGAGAACAGATCGTATGTAGGCTTGGTAGACCCGGATTTTAGTTCTGAGATTGATTTCCCTCTTGCTCCATAGAACGCTCCTCAGCTGTAAAAACGCATTCTAGGCGTTGGAGATTCGCACACTCACTTCGTTTTTCACTTGACCGTTGGGAGCATCATGGATCCCAGATACCTGAAGGATGGCACAATTTCAATTGGTGCTCCATTCAGGGATGGTATTTCCTCATTGCTGGTGGATGTGTTCGAAAACATTTTGGTTTTGGAAGTGTTAATTTCCAAACCGATAGTAGGCGCGGGGTGGTTTATCTGATCGAGCGCCTGTTGCATATCGGGGAAGTTTTCAGCTAATAACACGACGTCGTCGGCGAATTCGAGATCGGTCATGTGAATATCGGGCCAAAGTTGGACGCCGTGGCGCTCGGTTAGGACGTGCCGCAAAATCCAAACAACTGTGAAATTGAACAGGATGGGGGATGCTGGACAACCATGCCGGACACCGCTGGTTAACTCAAAAGTGCGAGACTCTTCACCGTTCATTCAGACTTGAGCTTTGGCGTTGGAGTAGCATAACCTGAGCAGGTTGATTAGCTTGGTCGGAACTTCGTCGAGCTCCATTAGATACCAGAGTGCTCCTCGATCGACTGAGTCGAATGACGCTCGGAAGTCGATGAAGCAAGTACCCGTCGGCTGTTGGAATTTGTCCCTCTGTTTCAGAATTCTTCGCAGGGTGAATAATTGGTCAACACAGCCTCTTCCAGGTCGAAATTCGGCTTGATTTGGCCTTGTTTGCACGTGGCGTTCGGCACCGAAGCGGTTCAGGAGAATGGAAACAAAAACTTTAGCAGCGATAAGCTGGAGAGTTTGCTAGGCGAGTGTCTCTGGCTTGCGAGGACATATGCATGGTGTGCTCTGAAATCCAGTCTTTCTGGTTGTTGGATGTGATACTGAAATGCTTTAGAGACTACTTCTTTGAAATGATTTCGTCGTTTCTCAGGTGTATTAGAAGATGCGGATTTTGGTTCATCTGCAGCGCTTAGTTCGGCCTGGATTTGTTTGGACAAGGCTTGTCGCTTTGTCGAACATTGAAGCAGGACAACATTGATACGCTTCGGAGGTCGCGCCTTCTGGCGTGTTGTTAAACGAAGTTTGAATTTTGCCTGAACTAGAGTATGGTCTGATCCTCCTTTAATTCCGGCCTCTGCACCACGATAGGATCGACAGTCCTCCACCGAGGAGATCCAGCGTGAGCGCACTAGGATGTAGTCCATCTGATGTGCAGTGCAACCGTCGTTCGAATACCAGGTGAGAAGATGTTTTCTAGGGTGTTGAAATCAAGTGTTAGTGATGTATAATCGATTGCAATCAGAAAAAGCTAAAAGTCTATCACCATTACGGCAGCGCTGATCGAGACCGCGTTTGCCTAGTATATGTTTTGTCGCGTCGTCTGAAGGGCCAGTGCAGGCGTTCCAATCGCCGGCCACTATGAGAACGTCACGCTTTGAGATTTTGTTGATTGCCTCTTGAAGATTGTCATAAAATTCGTTTTTGATACTTTCATCAGAGTCGAGGGTTGGGGCATAGACAGCTAGAACGGAAATGTCGAGCGGGAACCCTTGAACCTAGCGATTGCAACTCTAGAGTTGACCGGTTCGAATGATATTAGGGCATAATTGGCTTTGTTACGGAGAGCGAATGCTACCCCATGTTATCCCGAATTATTCTGGGATCCACTATTAAGCAACCAGAATGAAGAATCTGTTCCAGGTACGGCTATTCGGCGGGAGCCATGATCGGGTAACCTCACTTCAGATAGACACGCTATGTCCACCTTGTAGTCGTATAAAGAAAGCATGGTGACAGACTGGCTACCAGGATTCAACAGCGTCCTAACATTCCAGCAGCCAACAAATAGTTGGTTTCTAAGTGTTAATTTCCCAGCTGGCTTACTTTTCACACTGGCCACCGAGTGAGCAAAGGGCGCGTCGCTTACCCGGAACGCCGTAGCATGGTGAGAGTTGTTTGTAAGAGAGTTCATGAAGTTTCATAGGAATTAGGTACGAGTGATGTCCCCAGCATTGCTCGGCCTTTTGTTTGAGAGTGCAGCTCTAGCATTTACACTACCAAGTGTGACCTACAAGGCAGTAGGAGTGGAGTAGGGAGTCCACTATCCATTGGTGGCCGGTGACCGGAGTCCGGTTTATACGCCTTTCTGAATGGGGCCAGACATCCACGGCATCCGGTAAGCCCTTTGTCCATACGTCTGCCGGTGAGCTCCGGTGAGCTTCATACGCTAGTCGTTGGAGGTTTGGAATCAGGGTTTAGCCATCTCCCCTAGACTGTCATCCAATGGACAGTCAACCCGGTGAAGAGCGTCGGGCTATATAATATAATGTCAATATTGCGAGTAACTATAGGATAAAACCCACACTCCGACTAATAAGCAAGCAGTACAGGTGTATCATGGAACAACACACTAAAATAAATCAGGTGAACTAAGCCAGAATGTCTGTTTCAGTAAAAAGTGTGCTGGACTACTCAAAAAATATCAGCAGAAAACGTGTTTACGCTTCTCATACATTTTACTAAAATCCCAAGACTAAATGGAATACGTGATCATGAAACAACTAGGATTCATAACTCAACATCTGCAACTGTTTTGAGCCTTTATGCAAATGCAGTTGTCGGTTTCCTCATTAAACGTTTTATTGACATATTGTGAAATCAATATCATCCAGCGACGTCTGCATAGATCAATATCACGAAAGCGTTCTAGTACCACATTATAACTCCAACTCATTCTACGGAAATTTATTACTTTGAGAGACAATTTGATGCTTGTTATCATGGACTGAAACATCGTCAACACAGAGCCTTTGGGATAGTAAATAAAACATGAGAATGAATAGATGCTCACAATAGACTCTCAGAAGGCAAATTTTAATGTAACCACAGTTAATATGTAGGGATAATGTGAATTATCCTGATAATAGAAACGTCTCCTGATGGCTGAGTTAACACACTCCAGGTAGGCTCGAATCATAGTCCACTTATCCTGATGTGCAAACCATGATAAACTCGGGATGTCAACAATGCCAGATAATTCTTGTAAATAAAACTAATTAGTGTGTGTAAACACTTATTAGTAGTTTGATAATCAATGATTTACCAATAGATTATTTCATCTTCTGCCTCCATGAAGCATATCCGACATTTAGAATCAAACTGAGCATTGTCATTCGAACAGTCAATGTTCACCATATAGTTCCTATAATAATTTCCATCTGCTGAACACAAAAATCTTTAGAATTAACACATTCACTTGATTAATGCACACATCGGTTGTTTTAAGAATGAGGTACAAAAAGGATTTTCAAACGGTATTGGAGTAACTAATTGACAGGATATATATGTCCAAACCAAGTTCACATATCACAGTTTGAAAAAATTTGGGCATTGGGCATATGCTATTCATTATAATAGAGGTTTTTATATTTCCCAATGAATGAAAAACAAAACGACATTGTTTTTACTGACATTTCGCTATTTGATGCTAATAGCTTTATAAAAGTAATAGCAAACCGGAATTTACAAAATCTCAGCATATATTCATACCAACTGCGATCAAGATTTGACCGGCCAGTTGCAAAATAATTGAGCGCTGAGTGAGAAGTAGACATTTATAAGGTTATATTAGTAAAATCTCAGCGAAATTGAAATGATTAATTCCAACGTTTAGTTCGGCAATTTGGTTCGAACTTCTTCAGGGAAATTAAGCGAAATTAACATAACAAAGTTTATATATAAAGGGACAGATCTTGTTTTCAAAATTCTTGTCCGATCATGAATCATGCAACAGGTATCAACATGTATCATACATAAATAAATAGAATTGTATGTTCATACAAATGTACAATAGTAAAATCAATAGGTATGCTAAACAAAACAAAACAAAAATTGTATGAACTATGATCAAAAACTTTTTTGACCTCAGACTTTCAAAATTTGTCTACTTTTGTTAAAATATATGTGTATATGCAGTATATGCAGGATACAATGGTGTGTGTGTGTGTGTGTGTGGGTGGAAAAGTCATAAAAAATTTGCTATTCTCATATGAGCTGTGATCAAGATTTGACCGGATAGTTGCAAAATAATTGAGATTTTTATAAATATAATTTAATTTTTATAGATTTGTTATTCTCTCCATAAGAAAACGTAGACAATCGGGAATTTGACCAAGTGTGACTACTTGATCATACATATCAAATTTTATTTTGTTTATTAGTCAGGATTTGCCATGCATCGGCTAACATCACACCTTCACGTCTGTTTAAACTGTTGGGATTCACCCATATATGTAGGGCTTCTGCAGTCAGTCTTTCTTGATATGAACCAAAACCTTTCTGTAAAACCTTAGTCTTATCAAAGTCGATTTTGTGTCCCGTTTCTAATGAATAAAGTGCAATCGCTGAGTTGTTTTCTAGCTTCTTCAAGTCTGCAGAGCTCTTTGGAACCATCTTTAGACATTGTTTATGCTCTTTCATTCTTATATTTACCTGTCTAGAAGTTTCTCCTACATATACTGCGTTACAATCCCCACACTTGATCTGGTATACGCAATTCTGCTGGTTTTCTTGTTCTATTTTATCCTTAACCTTCACCAGTAATGAGCGTAAGGTGTTAGATGCACGAAAGTACACTCTTATGTTATGTTCGTTAACGATTCGCTTTATTTCATCGGATGTTTCTTTGCGGTAAGGAACCACCGCTGTACTAACCCAATTCTCAGCAGCAGGTTTTGATTCATCCTTATCTTCACATTTTAAGTATCTATTTATGAAGGCTTTAGGATAATTATTTGACTCAAGAGTGGATTGAACTAATTGCTATGGGATCACCAGTATCTCCGTTAGTCGCCAATCTGTTTATGCACTCATTAGAAACAAATGCAATTATGAGATGCCTTAGTCCCCCAAAGATGTGGTTAAGATACGTAGATGATACCTTCATCATAATCAAACGTAGTTTGTTAAATGAACTTTTTCAGTTAATAAACAATATGTCAGAAACCATCAAGTTCTCCAAAGAGGTTGAATCCGATGAAAATGAGTTGGCGTTTCTGGACTGTTTAGTAAAAAGAAAATTAGACGGAAAATTTAAAATAAACATTTTCAGAAAGCCGACAAATTCGGATAGATACCTAGATTACCATTCAGCTCACCCATTTACCACCAAAGTAACTGTGGCCAAGAATCTGATCAACAGAGCCAAACGTCTAGTTACTGAGGAGGAAGATATTAACGAGGAACTAAAATTAGTTCAATCCACTCTTGAGTCAAATAATTATCCTAAAGCCTTCATAAAAAGATACTTAAAATGTGAAGATAAGGATGAATCAAAACCTGCTGCTAAGAATTGGGTTAGTACAGCGGTGGTTCCTTACCGCAAAGAAACATCCGATGAAATAAAGCGAATCCTTAACGAACATAACATAAGAGTGTACTTTCGTGCATCTAACACCTTACGTTCATTGCTGGTGAAGGTTAAGGATAAAATAGAACAAGAAAACCAGCAGAATTGCGTATACCAGATCAATTGTGGGGATTGTAACGCAGTATATGTAGGAGAAACTTCTAGACAGGTAAATATAAGAATGAAAGAGCATAAACAATGTCTAAAGGTGGTTCCAAAGAGCTCTGCAGACTTGAAGAAGCTAGAAAACAACTCAGCGATTGCACTACATTCAATAGAAACGGGACACAAAATCGACTTTGATAAGACTAAGGTTTTACAAAAAGGTTTTGGTTCATATCAAGAAAGACTAACTGCAGAAGCCCTACATATATGGGTGAATCCCAACAGTTTAAACAGACGTGAAGGTGTGATGTTAGCCGATGCATGGCAAATCCTGACTAATAAACAAAATAAAATTTGATATGTATGATCAAGTAGTCACACTTAGTCAAATTCCCGATTGTCTACGTCTTCTTATGGAGAGAATAACAAATCTATAAAAATTAAATTATATTTATAAAAATGTCAATTATTTTGCAACTATCCGGTCAAATCTTGATCACAGCTCATATGAGAATAGCAAATGTTTTATGACTGTTCCACCCACACACACACACACACACACCATTGTATCCTGCATATACTGCATATACACATATATTTTAACAAAAGTAGACAAATTTTGAAAGTCTGAGGTCAAAAAGTTTTTGATCATAGTTCATACAATTTTTGTTTTGTTTTGTTTAGTATACCTATTGATTCATATTTAAAAATAAGAGATGTACTTTTATATAAACATACAATTCTATTTATTTATTATACATATTGATAACTGTTGCATGATTCATGATTGGACAAGAATTTTAAAAACAAGATGTGTCCCTTTATATATAAACTTTGTTATGTTAATTTCGATTAATTTCCCTGAAGAAGTTCGAACCAGATTGCCGAACGAAACGTTGGAATTAATCATTTCAATTTCGCTGAGATGTTACAAATTTAGCTTTAAAAATGTCTCAGCATATATATGTAACAAAGAGTCAATGGGGGAGAAATTAGACTTAGGTCAAGTTAAAAGGACATTTTGGAAGTCAAAATAACAATGAGGATCACCAAACAAAATAACAAAGTTAATACTACATCTGCTTTCATATCAAAATAAAGTTTACTAACTTGATCATCGTTCTTTAGTCTGGGGTCATTTCTTTATCACATTCATCATTCAAGCAAGTTCACTAGAAAAACGTACTACTTTTATAATGTCACACACTGATCAAATCCAACAATTTACACTTGGTTTTGTTATCTTTACCAGTTGACCAAATTGAAAAAGAAAAACGACCCCAGACTGACGAACGATGATCAAGTTAGTAAACTTTGTTTTGATATCATAACAGATGTACTATTACCTTTGATATTTGGTTTAGTGATCTTCGTTGTTATTTTGACTTCCAATATGTCCTTTCAACTTGACCTAAGTCTTTTTTCTCCCCCCTTGACTCTTTGTTACATATATATGCTGAGATTTTGTAAATTCCGGTTTGATAATACTTTGATAAAGCTATTAGCATCAAATAGCGAAATGTCAGTAAAAACAAGATCAACGCAAGTACTACAGTTTTAGCAGAATAAAATGGTACCATCTTTTATTTCGTTGCCTTCTCGTCAGCTGCTTACATGGCAAAGACATTACTAAATATATCTACAACAACAATTTTAACATACTTGCACAGAGTTCACTTTAAACAAACATCAATCGATCAATATACTCATTCGAATATTCACATTCGAATGCGAAATGCTATAAGTTTCCATTGTGTTTGATTATTATTAGTTGGAATAGTGGTTAATATTGCATATTTATATATGTATATATTTTTAGTGTATGAGTATATTGATCGATTGATTTTTGTTTAAAGTGAACTCTGTGCAAGTATGTTAAAATTGTTGTTGTAGATATATTTAGTAATGTCTTTGCCATGTAAGCAGCTGACGAGAAGGCAACGAAATAAAAGATGGTACCATTTTATTCTGCTAAAACTGTAGTTCTTGCTTTGTTCAAATTTATTAAGGGGAATAAATGTATGAAAAACAAGATCGTTTAGTTTTTCATTCATTGGGATATACAAAACCTTTATTATAATGAACAGGATATCTGCACGACAACAGCAGAGTATGGCCATATTGTTATGTGGAAGGTACTAGTATCTGGGATGCTATGATTACATATTTGTATTACTTTCTTAAGAGACTTATAATTTAACTGAAAGTTGAAAAGAAACAATTTTCTGAAACTAGTGAAAATAATGCTCATTATATCTGTCCATGTTTTGTGTGTTGCAATGAAGCTCTCAAACACCACACTTCGATGTTTAATATCAAATGTCAACTGGTCACAATTTATTGCTACTGACCCACCTATGTACTCTCTTCATAATATTATATAAAAGTACCGATTCTCCATTAGACGCTGTTTTATTTATATTACGCACAGTTTTCTGTTTTTCGGCAAAGAACTATTTCTTTTCAACGACTTCATTTTCAAGCTGTACAGTCGCATTTTCATTACGGAAAGATGGACTAAGTGGCACTAGAAAGTGCTTAGTCGATATATATATTATGCGAATAAAGATAATTACAATAATTCACTGAAAGGGTGGAGTTGAGTTGGATGAATTGCAAAAGTGAACTGGCATAGAGATTTTAAAATTGATGGTCAGGTGTTGTCTGAAAAATTAAGAATAAGATAATGATAACAAGACAGCAAAAGTGAAGTGGGATGAATTCAAGTGATAAAATAGAAAAGAATCAAAGAACATCATTATGAACAAGTTATGGAAAGGGTTTGACAAAACTATATTGAAAAACATAATTTAGCTTTTTGTCCATGTATAGCTTGAGCTTCGGCTATGCATAAGTGAAGAAAACGTAAGCTTTTGAACTGAATGTATTTGGTCCTGTTGATGATTTTAAAGGATGAATCATGTTGGGTTGAATGACGTGATTCTAGAAGGTGTTTTCAGATTGAAAACTTTGTCGTCCTCTCTTCACTTTTCATTAACCGAACCGATTAGTATTCAGCTACGCTTTTACGAAGATTACGTGTAAAATGTCCAATGTTATCAGCTGCACCTGCGAATGTGAATGAGTACATGTGAATAGAGGTGGTCATAAGTGGTAGTTTATCCTTGACGCATTGTCAAATCATGTTTCGGCTGGTAAATCCTGAATATAAGTCAGCTGCATAAAAACAGCGTTCAAGGCAACATTAAGATCAACGGTATTTAATTGCTTTAAAAATACTGTCAGCTTTGAAAGCCAAACTCATAAACAGTGTCTTCTTTCGAACTGTCATTTTGCTTAGGACTGTTTCTTTCCTGATGTTTCTGTTGACAAAACTTTGAGGGTATCTATCATTTGTGCGTCGGTGTCTTTGTGGTTAGGACTCTCGCCGACCATGCACATGGTCCGAGGTTCGATCCTCTGCCTACGCACACCTGATATCTATGGTCGGCCTGCAAAATTTAGGCTACCGATATCCATACTGAAAAATCCAAACTTGCACCATAAATACAGTGTGGAATCAAGGTGTAATCAAAAATATTTAAAAAATATCAAAAATATGAAATATAATTTAAGAGAGTTGTTCAAAGGCTCTCTAATTCGATGTCGATCATACTTGCAGAGCATAATTTCCGAATGCTGGAGCATAAAGAGCTAATAAGATTTTCGTTCCCGCTTAGAGATACCAAGATATTGTAATTAGTGTACTGATCTGTAGATGTTGGATTTCAGAGGATCGATCTTGCGAACGTGCCGTCCTCTCTTCTATCAAGCATCATGTTTCATAAAGGAAATGCGGAATTCGACCCTTCTGCATAGTGAAAACCAGAGATGAGTTAGAACCATTATATTTCACAGGAAGCCCGGCAACTGAGCAATTTTCATCGCAGATAATAAAAGTGATATCAATATATCGTTCATAGGTATGCAGACTTGAAATTTTATTTATATTATTTTGTCCCTAGTTGTTCTGAGTGGAACACAGGGCTTGAATTTCAAACATTTAAGGTTCAGTAGCAGTGGTTTTTATTTTTACTGGGCGTGGTTGCTAGAGTAATTTGCAACGTTCACTCTTTATAGGACTTACCACTGGCTTATCGGAGTTCACGAGTCCGTCCACCGGATATTTATCCTTTGGCCCCACAAATGGTTGACCAGTATTCAACCACTGAACCATTTTCATATATATTTCCCTAGATGTTTTTTTCCTCTGATTGATAGTCTAATCTATTGTAAAGGCATCTGACAGGTTCTACCCCATTCACTTTTCAATTTTCTTCACTGCGGAACAATTACGCTTCTTGCAGAGGAGAAAAATGAAGGCCATGAAATTAAAGGAGTGTGTCTGTGACGCCCGTTTTACTAGTTAGAGGTTCAAGTAATCAGTGCAAAATAATAGAAACCAAACTACTGGAGACATCTTTCCGAATAAGAAAAATGTTATTATTATTATTATAAATTTCATTTAATTCCTAGAGGAACATAGGGCCTCAGCTGTGCATCTCCATTGCCTTCGGTTTTCTGGCAACTTTTTCACCCCGGTCCAAGTCTGCCCACATGCTTTCATCTCCTCTTCACATGACCTCCTCAAAGTCACCCCACCTTGGGACGACCAACTCGCCGCTTCCCTTTCGGGTTCCACTCGAGCAATGGCTTGTCTAGTGATGTCACTTGACGGTTTCCTCAGCGTATGACCAATTCATCTCTTCTTGAAGTCGATTGAAGAATTCACTTTTCCACCACTATTCATGGTCTAACAGTTATGCATAGTGTTTTGTTAATCGAAACAGCACTTTTACAAAACGATGACATTAAACTAATCAGCAATTTTTAAAAAGTCATAGCAACAGTCACACGCTCACATTTAATAAAGTACTGCTAGGCATAGTCAAACATCAAATAAGAGTTTGGAAACACAGATATTAAATAATTTCAGCATCTTATAGAAACACGTGGTACCAAACAGTGTTTGATGATGTCAGCTTGTCAAGTTTCTGCCACAGATAACTCAGAGGGTGAATCACATTCATTGTTTCCTCTTTTGCTTTTGATCACAAAGTTATACACTTGGATCCTATGATCAAAACGTGATTCTAATTTCAATGAATTTAATCGTCTCCGGAATCCTGTTGATTCTGTGAACATTTGTACAATGTGTCGTAGCAGGAATGAAGCCGAAGTTAGACATGCAAATGAAATTCATTCAAGTCACTTCTACTATCACGGAAACAACCGCGTTGATGTATTCGTATTCCATTTCTAGAGTGAATTTTATTGCTGGATGTTAGACATTGAATATTTGTAGCAACTGATGTGGTAGTAACTGTTGTCGTAAACGACGGAAATTTCATCTACTTATTGTTTTTACAATTGCAGATTGTCAGAGGACGACTTGAGTGGGTCGTCAGACAGGCTAACTATGGGCTCAAGAGAGAACTCATTGCAATCCTGCCCTTTCGTCTGTAGATGATGTC